TTTCTCACCTTCTCCACAAAATATCAACCCATACATCCTTCTGTGAACAAGAGCAAGTGAGGATCATTCCCGTTCCCATAAAATTACTTGGTATGTGATGGGACAGGAACATGCTTCTCATATAGTTCTCATCAGCTGCCTACAGCTGTCTGTCTGTAGTGCTAACTTGGGCCCATGAATGAAGTTATATATCCAAATGCTCATTGGAAGAAAAAAATTTCCCCACCCCTAGAACATGTAGAGCGGGGATGAGGGTTAGTTGTTCCTTCTATAGTCTTCTTTCTTCATAGGAATTTAAATTTCTAGGGGCATACACTATTCTGCATTTGTACATGGACTCTCTAAAGTGCCTCCTGTATTTCTGGAGATTCTTTTCGAAGAGGGTGGGTGTGGCAGAGTGGCCTCTGTTCCTGTGTGACTCCCTCTCTAGGTCTGAAAGCCCATGAAAGTCATCCACAAATGTAAATGGCTTGAATGCTGAAAGTGCAGAGAGATGTGTCTAAACCTGAAGACTTCAAATTTTGCTTGAAGCTAGAGAGCCTGAGCAAAGTACTGAGAAATATGGAACCATATTTCCCTGTGCAAGGTTGTTCAGTTATTTCAATAACTCAGAAACTCAGAGGGGAGGGTGAGACTCATATCCCTAGTCCTTGGGACATTAAATGACAGGTACAGAGCTGAAGTCTCTTACCTGCATGCATACCTGCCCTTCGCAGGAGCTAAGAAATATGACTTTTGTTGAACTCAGATCCAAGTGCCATACCAGTCCCCACTCACACCAGATCCATGGATACACCTATCTCCTGATGATTGCCTGCTTACACTGCCTTGGTTTAATGACTAGTCCCAAGGAGCACACTGGAGCTAAAGCCCAAGTTCCAGTTTCCACTGAACTGCATCTCTCCAAACACAAATGCAGTGCACATCTGATTCTGAGTACTGTTAGAGTAGAGATCTGGAATTCCCAAGCAACAAGCTTATCTGGGAAGGTGGTAACCTGCTCAGAGAAGAGGAATTAGGGCTCACCGAAGGGATGACTAGAATCAAAGTTGCCCAGAGACTGGCAGCTTTTGAAGTACAGTCTCCCTGATTTAAACACACACACACACACACAGACCAGGGGAATCTAGTCAGGAAAGGAAAACCAGGAGAGAGCCTAGAAACAGGCAGACTTAAAACTCCCATGGGCTCTCCCAACAATTATGCCTTCCTTGGGACCCACACTGCTCAGCCTAGCCCCATTCGGAAGGCTCCTCATTGCAGCCAATTTGGCTGCTCCCCAACACTCTCTCTCTCTCTCTCTCTCTCTCTCTCTCTCTCTCTCTCTCTCTCTCTCTCCCATCAGGTTGAGGGTAGCCCTTCTGGAGGCTGTTTGCACAGCTGCTTTGAATGATGGGAGTATTTGCAGAGCCACTTGGGTCAGACCAGTCCACCTTGGTTCACCTGCTGCAGGACTGCCTGAGCTAGAGGGCCAGACCCTCCTTAGCCCATCCTTCTGTGCCCTCCAGTGGCACATAGGAGGTACTGGAGTCCCCAAAGTTACCAACTGTCAGTACTCAACCAAAGGCAATCACTATTATTGGATACCCCTGGAGTCATCCAGGCCCTTCTTTTTAGAAATATACTCCCCATAGGGGCTCATCTTCTCTCAGCCATTTCCTCCCTAAGTTCATTGTGACACCCAGAAGTACTCACTCTTTAACCACACATACGCCAATAATAGATGCAGCCCTGACAGTCTTATGCCATGTGAACACAGTACACACATGCCTTCTCTCAGATCTCCGCAGATGAACATTTTTCCTGAGTAGATATTTCACAGGTCTATATCACAGCATCAGTAACGGTTCTCATAGTCTCCTGGCTCTAGATTCTGCAGACTCCACTTTGGTACAGTAAAAAGGGACAGCAAGAAAAATATATATATATATTTTAGGAAATTCCTATCCCTCCATTCTTACGTAATGTTTTAAAATCAGCCTATTTTAGGAAACAGGACCATATATATATTAATTTGTAAATGCTGAACTTCAAGCAATAGAAGGGAAAGACTGTTAGTGGTTAAAAGTAGACTTTTCATAAGGCCCTCAAATCCTATTTAGTGAAATCTGGTCTGCAAACCCTACGCTGGTGCTATTCCTCTAAAAGTACCATGAAAACTCAAGGTCAAAAACCCAATTCCTATACACCATTTTGTACCAAAATCATCATTTAGATATGCCATCTCCCAAAAGTAGGGTAAGGTATGGGAAGAGTTCACTTTAGAAGCAAAACGTAAGGAAGCAGCCGGCTCCAGTAGCCATGTCTTTTATCCCTGCTAAGCAAGAGGATGAGATCAGGAGGATTGTGGTTCCAGATAATACTATGCAGAAACCAAGACCCTATCTCAAAAAATAACCTGAACCTGCACAGCAAACACAATTGTTGTCATCTATATCACTCTGTGTTAGAGGAATACCCCAGCATGGGGAGCAACTAAAATTTGTCAGGGGGCCCATAAGACACTCTCACCTGAACACCGTCTCTCAGAATGAGTCCTGAGGGGGAGTTCCTGACTGGGTTTCTTTTTGGTTGTTGTTGTTGTTGCTATAAGAGGTTGGACAATTTAGAAAAGAGATTTGTATAGCTGACAGTTCTGCAGGTCCAGTGTGCCACCAGTCTTTTCTTGGCTTATACAGAAAGCTATGTGCTGCTCTGTGGCAGAGAAGCAGAAAAGAAGTAGGTTCTTGATGACAAGATCAAATATGTACAGTAGAAACAACAGAAAGCCAAACTCAGATTTTGTTAATGACCCCTTCTCAGAATAACCCATACTTGAGGTAACTACATTAATTCCTTCATATTGGTAGAGTTCCCACGATCTAATTACCTCTTGAAAATCCCAAGTCTAAACACTGCCATATTTAGAACCAAACCTCAACATGAGGTGAAGGAACAAACCATATCCAAAACCAAAGCAATTCCCAAAGGCTGGAAAAGAGATTCTCAGTGGAGCAAAATTGTGCCGTTCTCTATAATAACAATTACAATTCTACACACAAGATGTCAAGATTTGTACAATTTATTCATATTTCTCCAGACACCCATTCCACCCTGCATACTGTTATGAAACAGTGAAATCCTCTACTTCCAAACATCCCTGTAGTGGGTGGAGGGATGTGGCTATATAAAGTGGTAGAGTGTTTGCCTAGCAAGTGTGAAACCCTGGGTTCAAACTCTAGTACTACACACACACTGTGGTGAATTTTTTTTAAAGCATGGATAAATACTATTGATCATTTTCTGTCATTTAAAGAACAAATGTTAGGAGGAGGAAATGAAGGAAATAGGAACTATATTTGCTGAGCATCAAGAGAATATAGATGGTTGTGGGGAAGGCTCTGGGCTCTAAGTTTTATTCTTTGTTTTTTGTTTTTGTTTTTTTTTTGGTCGGCCGTGGGACTTGAACTCTGAGCTTGGGCGCTGTCCCTGTGCTTGAGCGCTCTACTGCTTGAGCCACAGTGCCACTTCTGGTTTTCTGGTGGTTTATTGGAGATAGGAGTTTCACGGACTTTCCTGCCCGGGCTGGCTTTGAACCGTGATCCTCAGATCTCAGCCTCCTCAGTAGCTAGGATTACAGGCGGGAGCCACCGGCGCCCGGCTTCTAAGTTTTATTCTTAAGAAGCTCTTTAATTATCTTTCAAGGGGTGGTCAATAAGACAGGTAGCTTGGGGTGAACTGAGTTCTCTACTAAGGTAGAGGTTGGTCGTTAAGTGAATTGTAGGATTTTTTTTTAAAAAAAGAATAATCTTTCTGAAATAAAATATGAAAAAGTGTCACTTCTGAATCAAGTGCCTCTACTGCCTAACAGTTGCAGCTAGACCAAACACTGCAAGCCTGATGATGCTGGGGAAAGCAGAGCTGACCTCAGGCATCTGGTAGGTGCCTCAGCATTATGTCCCCCATTTGAAAGCTCAGCATCTATCTTGTGACATTAGTGACGAAGTTTAACAATAATCACTTACCATTATTTTTCCATTTTACTAGCAGATTGATAAGGATTGATTAATATGAATTTAAAGAATCATTAAAAATAATATATCAAGAATTTATCATCAGCAGTAGTGGGTGGAGAGCATTATTGCTCATACTCAAATATATATCTTCATTGCTTAGGGCATCTTGCAGGAAGCAGAGATTCACTAAATATTTATTGTATGAATGAAATTTAAGCGAATGAGAACTACAAAACCTGCCAATATCAAATCATAATTAGAGACCCCTAGGTCTTGGGTTGCAAGTAATTGCCTAATAAAATGAAATAACGATATGGAATCAGTTACGTAGTTTTAGGTAGGAGACGATCTCAAAGAGTATATTACCCCTGAGCAACTGCACACGAGAGGCCCATAAGTAATCCGTTTGGGAAAACCAGACACAGGGAAAATAGTAGGCGAACCAAGTCAAACTCATAACTCATCACGATTCTTATGGAGACGAGTGAAGTAAACTATTACAGTATGATTGTTTTCTTTTGGTATAACAGGTGAATTCTCTAATGGAACTTCAGAAAGTTGTCAAGTTCAGACAGGTACAGATTATAGTGCCGGTAGCTTCTCTGGTCTTAGTCTGAAACAGGCACACCTAGTAACCTAAAGGACGCCTTACCAAAGGACTGGCTGGCAAGAAAGCCAAGATCCACCTAGCCCAGTGAGTGAAACTAACCTGACCTGTAGGCCACGTACCGATGTCAACATCGCGGAAAAGAGCCACCGGGCTCGGTGCCCCGTGGGTCAGTGTTCACCGCGTCAGCTCCTATGGGTCGCAAAGCGGACCGGCGAGACCAAGTCGCGAGACAGCTAACCTGTCAGGGCAGGAGCGCCCTACATTCCGTAAGCCAATAGCCACGAACTAAGGCGGGACTACTGGATAGCTAACCAATGGGAGCGCGGCTGAGCTGGCGGGACCGTCGGGGGCGGGGGGCCCACAGCGCGTCGGTGGGAGTCCGAGTGTGCGGACCGATGAGGAAGCTTTGGGAAGCTGAGGTGTTCGCTGCGGTGCTCGGGGGCGCGTGCTTCCTGCTGCTGTCAGCACTGGTGGTTCGCCAGCTACTGAAGCAGAGGCGGCCAGCGGGCTTCCCCCCGGGCCCCCGGGGGCTGCCATGTATCGGCAACATCTACTCTCTGGCCACCTCAGCTGACCTTCCTCACGTGTACATGCGGAAGCAGAGCCAGGTGTACGGCGAGGTACGGCCCCCACGGGCCGCGGGGCGGCTCGGGCTAACGCGGGGCTTCTCACCGTGTCGCGGCTGCCCGGGGAGGGTCCTCCCGCTGACGAGGCAGGGCGAGGAAGCTAGCTTCAGCCTGGAGAACTCCGTGCCACTACCTTGAGGCCAGGCAGTGACGACTTTCCCGCCTTCTGATGTGGGCGCCCAGCGTGCACTGCGCCTGCGCACTGAGAGCTGCATCTGGACCCACGCCTGGGCTCAGTGGTCAAAAACTTCTCGACCCTGTGGAGGCATAGGTTCTGTTTGTTAGAAAGTCCAGGTGGTGAGTTCTACATCAGAACTAGTTCTTCGATGTCATTTGAGCAGGGACTACTGTGAAGGTGAAAAGAGTACACAGGGGAGTGGCCCTGGCAGAAATGGGGTCGGATAAGAGATTTTGTAAAGTGACTAAATTAATTTAAAAAAGAAACATGAACAAGTGTGAGAGCCTTACAGTACAGTGAGCCTTCTTGGCCTGAATGGCCAGGAATATGCTCTTAACAGCATGGCCTACCAATGTGCCTACAGTGTGTTGATCTCACTGTCAATCTGCATTCATCAGAGCACTGAACCATTTCAAACCCCACCTGTTCTGTATAGTTTTAAATTACACTGCTTTACGTGAAACAACATGTCAGGCACGTGCCTGGTGGCAGGAGTAAAAAGAGGAGGAAAACAAACACAACTTTAAGGAATCCGGTAGCAGAGTGAAAATTTATTAATCAGAAACAGGGAAAATTGCAGGGTCTTAGACAATTGTATTTCAGGTTGATGCTTAACTGTTTATTTAACTATTCTTTACCTAATTGTAATTTAGGTTGGTGAGAAAACTAATTTTTATAAGCATTAGGTAAGTTTCTTCAGCTTACTAAAGGTTTGGTCACAAAAGGGAAGCTGGATTTAGGTAAAAAAAATATCTGTAACTCTTAGATTCTGTTTTCCACCATCCAGTACTCCTGGTATGAGTATATTTTGAAAGTTTTAGCAGGAGAGTTAAAAACTGCTAAAAGTATTTTCAGGACAGTTATTTGAAATAGTTTCTCACAAAATAGAGAATTATAATCTCCATATATAGATACTTGAACTAAAAAGAACTGTATTTACTACAAATATTCCTTTGGGACAAGGTTACAAATTAGGATATAAATATGCCAGAAAGCTGTCATGTAGTGATATGTAGATCTAATTTAAGAGATGAGAACTAGGCATAAATGATAGTTTTTTTCCTGGTATTAGTTTTTGAGAGTTCCATAATTATTTGTTTTTTTATTTTGTTTTATTTACCATGAGAGCTCCTTACTACAAATCAAATACAGTTAAATTGAGAAGAGGCAAAAGAGAAAAAAAATGAGGTTATATGCACTGAAAAGTGGGCATTGGTTTACCCCTACTCTTATACTTGAATTGATAACCACTAAAACAAATCTGTTTAAGCCACTTCAATATTATTATATTAGTATATATATAATTATATACTAGTATACAATTATACTATTATTATACTAGAATGCCCATAAGACCTCCCTTTGTCTTAGCAGTACTTTTCAATTCCGTCAGTCTCAAAGTTAGTAAGAGCCATTAAAATACCTTTGCTGGAGATAGAAGGAAATTATTATCTGCTATAGTTTGGGAAGAAAGTAGTTTATATGACTTACTTGGAAATACAATCTTATGTTTTCAGTCTTTTTTTTTTTGAAATGTGATTGCACAGATGAAAGCCTGGACATTTAAATTGCTTATGACAGGCACTTCAAGTGAAACCTACTTTGTACATGCAGAAAAATCCAGTCTTCATAATTCTTACATAGAAATATTCTACAGGTCTGGGAAGGTGGCTCAGTGGTAGAGCGCTTGCCTTGAATGCATGAAGCCCTGGGTTCGATTCCTCAGCACCACATAAGCAAAAAGAAAAAAGCCGGAAGTGGTACTGTGGCTCAAGTGGTAGAGCACTAGCCTTGAGCTGAAGAGCTGAGGGACAGCGCCCAGGCCCAGAGTTCAGGCCCCATGACTGGACCCAAAAAAAAAAAGGAAAAAAAAAAGAAATATTCTACACTAAGTGTTACCATTTCTTTGGGGATTTACTCCAAGTCCTTATGTTTCTGCAGCAACTTTAACATTAAGCTAGACTTCAAGAAGCAATGCCAATACAGTTGGCTTTGTCATATACTTTTCAGGTACTATAAAGACCATAAAATAATGGCTTTAAGGCAAGTGAAATTAATAATTTATTTTTACAGCAAACATTGAGAACTTTATGCAACGCACTAATTGAAATTCTGAAGGATTCAAAGCTGAAATCACTGCTTCTAAGGAGTTATAATTTATCAGGCAGGTTGAAAATGAGAAAGTAAATATTTCTTTTCTTTTGGGGGAGGGGGGAGAATCCCGTCGTGGGGCCTGAACTTTGGGTCTGAGCGCTGTCCCTCAGCTTTTCAGCTCAAGGCTAGCGCTCTACCACTTGAACCACAGCACCACTTCCGGCTTTTTTCTTTTTGCTTATATGGTGCTGAGGAATCAAACCCAGGGCCTCATGCATGCAAAGCAAGCACTCTACCACTGAGCCACCTTCCCAGCCCCAGTAAACATTTCTTTTAAGGTAGTTCATGAGAGCTTCTAAGTGTGAGTTGTGATTCTAACCAGGAAGCAAGAATGCATCAAGAAAGGCTACATGGATGATGATTCTTAAAGACTTAATTTTGCATAGCATGATAGTCAACAGAGTCATTCCACATGAAAAAATAAATGGAGAAAGGTTTAAAGAATGTGGCAATCACCAGAGCATCAACAACATTTACTATTTATTTATTTGAATTTAGTCTATAATGTTGTCATGAAAATATGCTTAAGTGTATGCCTCCATCATAGTCTATTAACTCAGAATATTTTTGTTAATTGTCATCATTTGCTTTGTATTATGCTAGGTGTTGGAGATATAGCAGTAAGAAAAAAGAGGCCCCTCCCCTTATAAACTTACATTTTAGTCGAGCCTAGTGGAGGTAAGACAATTATAAACATGATTTTTTCAATTAAACCATGATTTATTAAGTTATGTTAGAAGAATGTAGTGTTCAAAATAAGCTAAATTAGAGTGAGGGAAACAGAATGCTAGAGGGTCAAATGTTAAATTGCTTTGCTAGAGCAGATCTCACTGTAAAGATAGCAACTGATCAAAGGCTTACAAGGAAATGAAGGAGCAAACTATTAGGACTAGAATACATGTGAGCAAGAGAAAAGCAAGTACAAAATCATGAAGCAGGAATATGCCATGTTGAGAATTATCTATGGTGTGGAGGTTGTCATGAAGCGTAAGAAATGTAGTTAATTTGGATCACAGTACCAGTATAGAGGTTATTTTAGTCAGTTTTGTGTTATTGTAACAAAATACCTGAGATAAGGGGAAAGACTGGTTTCAGCTTTTAATTTTGGAGAGTTCATTTCATGTTTGATTGGCCCCATTGCTTTTGAGCCTGTGGTGAAGCAGTACATTATAGTAGAGGTGTGGAATAGAGGAAGCTGTTTATCTCTTGGAAGCTAGGAGCTAAAAATGAGAGAGAAAGAGGAGTGGCTAGGATGACAACATCACCTTTCAGAGCATTGCCCTCATGGTCTAAAACCTTCCAGTTGGTCCTACCTTTTTAATGTATATTTTTTATTGTAAAGATACTATACCGAGGGGTTATAGTTACATGAGCAAGGTAATGAGTCCATTTCGTATGGAGCATTATACCCCTTCCTTTGTTTTTCCCCTACCATCCCTAAAGAGAGACTTCTCTGGAGAGGAAATAAGAATGGCCAATAGACACACGAAGAAATGCTTAACTTCTGTGGCCATAAAAGAAATGCAAATCAAAACAACATTGAGATTCCACCTCACCCCAGTTAGAATGGTTATAATTAAGAAATCTAATAACAACAGATGCTGGAGGGGATGTGGCCAAAAACGCTACTGCATTGTTTGTGGGAATGTAAACTTGTTCAACCACTTTGGAAAGCAGTATGGAGGTTCCGCAAAAGACTACAAATAGAGCTCCCCTTTGACCCAGAAATTCCACTTTTAGGCATCTGCCAAAATGGTCACAAACAAGGCATACTAAAGCTACCAGCACGACTATGTTTAGCGCAGCATTATTCACCATAGCTAAGATATGGAACCAACCCAGATGCCCTCAGTAGATGAGTGGAATTCTATGCCTCTATCAGAAAGAATGACACCACCCCATTTCTTAGGAAATGGAAAGACTTGGAAAAAATTATATTAAGTGAAGTAAGCCAGACCCAAAGAAACATAGGTCCCATGGTTTCCCTTATCTGCAGTAACTAATATATGCTAGGACAAGCAGAAGAGGTCAAAAGCTATGTACATATGGCCATAATAAGCTTACAGCCCTACTTTTTAAAGTTTCTACCACTTCCCAAGAAGTACCAAACCAAAGATCAAGCCTTTAATACATAGGCTGTTAGGGAACATTTAAGATCCAACTTTTGGCAGAGATAATAAGAAATTGTCAAACTCTATATTCTGAAAGTAGAAACAACTTGACTTCTGAGTAGGTGATTTGGGATTTGGGGAAAACATGAGTCACATGGGCAATTGTAGCATTAGGATTTGAGAAACTTGAAGATAGATAAAGTTATTATTAACTGGATAGTGAAAATATTTAGGTATAACTGATTTTTCAGGGAAAGGAAGTGACTTAGATCATAGGGTGACTTATAGAAGTTAAAGAGAAGGTGTCATATATTCTTGTTTACATGTCTGCCAGCATCAGAACTTGCCCATAATAGGTTCTAAAAAAAACAATTGAATAAATCAAAGAATGTATGGGCCTAATAGTGGACCTTTTCATATATCAAACACATTCAAGGTTCACGAAAATTTAAGTTTCACAAAAATTTACCAACAGTCATTAAAAGCAGTCTATACCAGAATAAAATACTAGTTTTACTCTCAAAAATAAGATCCAAAGTTCTTGAGTACCATCTTTCTGTAATAATGCCTTTTTGGTTTTTATACTCTAGCATCTACATTTGAAAGCTTTACATTGAACTACATTTCCTCTCTGTTCTGTGTTTATACTAGTATAGCTTTCAATACCAGTGTCTTTGCCTATCCTTCTGAAATTATGAGTTACTTGTTTTTTCTTCCCTACATCAGGACCACTTATATTAATTTATGCTGTTTTTATTGGTTTTCCTAAAATTACATTTCTGTGAAAGATCTTCTCATAACAACACTATTTAACTGCTTTTGGGAACTGAAAGAATGCTTTCACCCACTCCCCTGTGATTCAGTTTATCAGCTCGTAACTATTCCCTTGTGTGGAAAACTCTCCCACTGCCACTTTGACTCATACCAGTACTAATAGTGGTACTTATATACTCTTTCCTCAAGTTTCTAAATATACCTACTGCCCAGTTCCAGGGCCCACACTTGTGCCTGAGACTCTGGTTGACACGTCACTCAGGTGGGACTGATTTCATTTCCACTTGACAATCGCTATCACTTTTGCTGACATAAATGCTTCTGCAGAAGTTTTGCTCTCTTCCAAATCTTGTGTTTTCTTTGAGTGTGGACCACACTAAATCTCGATTTGTTCATATAGAGATAGGCCTTGTCTCAATATTTTGTCTGTAAGAAGCTGTCAAGCAAAACTGAGAGGATAGTCACCTATGCCTGTGTGGTGAATGTCTTTCCTTCAAGGTCTTTTTTCATTAAGTTATTCAAGGCTACCTTCATGAGGCAAGTACAAATGAGCCTTGCTTACAATGTATTTCTACCTGAGAGTTGTCTCTCAGGCCTTTGATAAGCTCTTCCCCTGAGTCTGGCATAATAATGAACAGATGGCATTGCCTCTCCATTCATCTTGGAAATAACAGATTTCTATATAATAGAGGTCCAGTGAATTCTAAAAGAACATATAAGTTAAATATAACTTCTGTGGCAACTTAAAGCCCATAAAGGTTAAGCGAACTGCCTCAGGTCTTCTATCTATCTAATGGCTGTGGGAACCCTAGACCCCTGTGAGAACCCTGAAGCCCCATGAAAACTATGACTGTGTGTAGGAATTCTGAGTCAAAGGTGTTCATAGTAAATGCCTGATGCCAGCAGAAAAACTGCAGGTTGTATGAGTGTTTATCTTGTTGCTGAGTAGATACAGGATTCTAAGTGTTTAGCCTTCTACAATAATCCCATCAAAAGGCTAGATGAGAGCTTGTTTGTACCTATCTTACTGCTTCTAGATATCCTGTTAACTATTCCCTAGAATGAGCTATTTCATCTCCCTAAGCAAACAGGTACTCTCTGACCCTTTAAAATCAGAAGACAGAGAAGATTCTAGAGTTTAATGTGTCTGTCGATTAAATTCTCCTGGCTCTCATGGCAATAATATTGTTTCATGAGTAATTTTTTATATACCATCAAAGTGGCTGCTGGAGAGAACCAGCAAATGGAAAATCTTTAACTAGAACCTAGGCCTCCTGAGTACCATTCTTTCCATGTTACCACTTATATGATTATAGCTTCAGATACAGAATATTATAGTGAATTGTGCTATTGAGATATTGTCAGTTGACCAATAAATGCTCATATTTTCAGGAAAGTAACGAATACTGGAAGGGCTGGATTTTCTTGATTGTATTTCTTTGTACATACTGCCATTTGATTGTTTCTTTTCTTCTTAAAGATTTTCAGTTTAGATCTTGGAGGCATATTAACTGTGGTTCTCAATGGCTATGATGTAATAAAGGAATGCCTTGTTCATCAAAGTGAAATTTTTGCAGATAGACCATGCCTTCCTCTCTTCATAAAAATGACAAAAATGGGAGGTATGTATATTCAGCTATTAAACTATTTAACATTACATTCCTTACTTTAGGTAGTTTAAATGCATAGAGTTTGGATTCTTTCTAATTACAAAAATGTATTTATATACTTATGGAAATATTAATATCTAAGAACATGCTCATTTCTTTTAAACCAGTTTTAATAAATATTACAAATAATGTTTTAAAGAATTAGTACTTGCTAATAGTTGTAAAATTTATGAAACAAATTAGAGTGTGCACATGTATATATGCATACACATATTTGAATCAGGAGTGTCTTTTTGATGTCAGATGAGTATTTTGTAACATATTTACTATCGTTTTACTTATAAGCTTACAAAAATTGAAGGAGCCTTTCTTAATTACTCACTATTATGATAGATACATAAATGAACTGTGAAGCTTAAATAAAGAACTAGCATGCCATATGGATTAATAGCAAATGATCTATATTCAACAGAATGGATAGCTAAAAGTTGACTAAGTTGGTAAGAAGAAAGTCTCCAAATGTTGAAATCAGATACAATCTTTTTTGTTCATTCTTTGGTGCTGATCTGGGGCTTGAACTCAGAGCCTGACTCTCTCTGAGCTTTTATGCTCAAGGCTAGTGTTCTTCTACCACCTAAGCCACAACCCTACTTCTGGCTTTTTGGTGGTTCATTGGCGGTTCTTATGGACTTTCCTGCCAGGGCTGGCTTTGAACTACAATCCTCACATCTCAGCCTCCTGAGTAGCTAAGATTATGCCCAGCCATATACAATGGTTTTAATAAAAAAATTTTTACAATCGTGATGCTTTAAATTATCTAATGACAACTTTACACTTTCAAAAAATTAACGTTTTGTTTAGGTAGACTAAAAAGCCATTTAGTTAAAAAGAAAAATGCTCAAAATCATAAAACAAATCAATTAATGAAAAAAACAGAACGAATTTTAAAGACTAAAATTTCAGATCATAATGTAGTAAAGCAGTAAGGAAATGTAAATCAAATCTGCAGCCTTTTGAATAACCTTAATAATAATTAGACAAAAGAATAAATCACAATTATAAAACCTTTAAGAAAGTGATGAAAATGAAAGATGATGTGACAAGAATAATATTTGAGACAAAGTATGTATTTTCAAAGCTGTAAATTTAGAGCTCAGGCTATTTTTATCATGGATATAAAGTGAGAATTCAAGTTAAGTTTATTTTTTAAAATCAATAGGTTAAAAATAAGAAAAAATATCTGCTTTGAAAATGCATATGCGCTGACCTTGGAAATGAGAAACCATAGCTACCATTACCCAGCTGCAAGAATGGAGATAAGTTGCTCTTTGGATAGGCTCAGCCCCATTTTGGCCAATATAGGATTAATCTGAAAATGTGCTTCCATACCTTCTTGTTGTATGTACCAAAATCACACATTTCTCTAATATGCTGTCATGTTTTTGCTATGGTTCTTTGCTCCCATTTTGTTTTTGCCTCTTACAGCTGCTGTGTCTACCTACAGTTACTTTCCCCAAAATATTTGGTTGACTAACTCACTTACCTAAGGGTTTACTTACTTATCTAAAGATTCACTACCTAGATTAAACTTTCCATCACTACTTTGTATCACTTTTCTCTGTAGTTTATCTGTTGTCTATCACTCCTACTTGTAGTTCCGTGTGAATGGAGATCTTTGACCCTTCTTTTCACTGATAAATCCCTAACTACCTAGAACATATTAGATATTCCATAAATACATTTTGAATTCATATTTGTTGAATGAATAGTCATCTGGGAATGTGGAGAGCAAGAATAGACTATTGGGATATAAAATTGCTTCAGTAAATACATATTGTGGAGGTTCCTTTTTATTAGTAGTTGTACAAAGGAATTGTCATCTAACAAACAGTTTATGAATACAATATATCTTGATCAACGTCACCTCTTCAACATCCCTCCCCTACCATTCCTTCCCTCACTCTTCTTAATTTTATAGGATATACATTAGACTCTTGACTGAATTTTCTTCTTTTCCTTGACCCATATCATCCCTTTCTAGTACCCACTTTCTGGTATTTTATTTTTCTCAACTTTCTAAGGAATTACTCTATTTGAGATGTCCCTTGAATCTATACTACTATATTTAGTTAATACATTTGTATACACTTTCAGACTACCCAATGTATTTACTTATGAGTTTGTAAGTGAAATCTAGCTTTCACATATAAGAAAAAATATGTATCCTTTGTTTCTCTGGGCCTGACTTATGTCACTTAATATGATCTTTTTTTTCAGGTATTTCCATTTCTTTACAAATGGTACAATATCATTCTTCCTAATGGATGAGTAAAAATCCATTGTATATGTACCACATTTTCTGGATCTATTCATCCATTGAGGGACATCTGAGCTGATTCTATACCATGGCTATGGTGAACAGTGCTGCAATAAACATGGCTGTACTAGTAGCTTTACTGTATCCTGGTATGGAATCTTTTGGGTAAATGCCCAGGAGTGGAATTGCTGGATCAATGAGCACCTAATTTTAAAAGTGCTTCACAAAAGTTGTTGGAATTTAAATTTTATATGTACCTCATGAACACAAGAAAATTGACATGTTTCATTATAGGTTGTCCACTGTCCTAGTGAAGAATGTAATTGTATCTAGAAAACATTAGCTACATAAATACATGCATTAAAGATACTGTGATTTTTCTTCATAGTTAATATAAAAACGATATTTTCCATAGTAACCATATCAGGACAGCAGATACACTATCAGGATTCTAGAATTCTATGGGAAACATTAACCACCTCAGAAACGTATGAGCTTCTTGTTTGCCTATGCTGTTCCCTACCTTCATTATTTGATGTTTATATTACATTATCATTTTATTCAGATTACCTTGCTGGGTAAAATATTCTTGTATAGAAAATAAACTTAGGTCTGGGAACGTGGCTCAGTGGTAGAATGCTTGCTTTGCATGGTTGAGGCCCTGGGTTCGATTCCTCAGCACCACATAAGCAGAAATAAAAAAGCCGGAAGTGGTGCTGTGGCTCAAGTGGTAGAGCACTAGCCTTGAGCTGAAGAGCTGAGGGACAGTGCTCAGGCCCAGAGTTCAGGCCCCACGACCAGACCTCCCCCCAAAAAATAAATAAGTAAAATAAAATAAACTTATAGGGGCTGGGAAGGTGGCTCTGTGGTAGAGTGCTTGCCACGCATGCATGAGGCCTTTGGTTCGATTCCTCAGCACCCCATAAATAGAAAAAGTCAGAAGTGGTACTGTGGCTCAAATGGTAGAGCACTAACCTTGAGCTGAAGAGCTGAGGGACAGTGGCCAGGCCCAGAATTTAAGTAACACAACTGACAAAAATAAATAAATAAATAAATAAACTTATATCCTAAATCTGGTTTAAGTAGAAATTTTCCAGCCCTAAAAGAATGATTTTCAGATGTTTCTTTAATCCAAGGTAAAAATTTTCCCTTAAAGTCATTATCTTTTATACGTTAGTCTTATAGTAAAAGTTGAACAACCCAGGTCGAATTAACCCAAACTAGTCATAATTCCTGTGTTGGGAGAATTATAGATATTTTCTTCCAATCTCCTTCTGGAGATTAGACAGGTTCTCTCTAATATTCTATAGCTAGTGAGTAGCAGAAACTTAAGACCCAACTACCTTGTCATGTGGAAAGATAATTAGGAAAATAAATACTCATTTAATTGTTTATTCTTATTGCAATTCCATAGCCTTTTCAGTTGTTAAATACAGAAAAGTTGGAATTATACAAAATTTTAATATCTTTTTCAGGCTTACTCAACTCCAGATATGGCAGAGGATGGATTGATCACAGAAGATTAGCTGTAAACAGCTTTCGCTACTTTGGATATGGTCAAAAGTCTTTTGAATCTAAGATCTTAGAAGAAACTCAGTTTTTTACTGATGCTATTGAAACTTACAAAGGCAGACCTTTTGACTTTAAACAATTAATAACAAATGCTGTTTCAAATATAACTAATCTTATCCTTTTCGGAGAACGATTTACTTATGAAGACACTGATTTTCAGCACATGATTGAGTTATTTAGTGAAAATGTAGAACTAGCTGCCAGTGCCTCAGTCTTCCTGTATAACGCCTTTCCATGGATTGGCATCTTACCTTTTGGAAAACATCAACAACTATTTAGAAATGCAGATGTGGTTTATGATTTTCTCTCCAGACTTATTGAAAAAGCGTCAGCCAACAGAAAGCCTCATTCACCTCAGCATTTTGTTGATGCTTATTTAGATGAAATGGATCAGGGCAAAAGTGATCCCTTATCTACTTTCTCCAAAGAAAATCTAATTTTCTCAGTCGGCGAACTGATCATTGCTGGAACTGAAACAACCACCAATGTGCTACGCTGGGCAATGCTTTTCATGGCCCTTTATCCAAACATTCAAGGTAAGGATTTTCTTGATCTCAAGGTCTGCCTATATGTATGAACCATATATTTCTACTCTGGCAGATGTACAAAGCACCTCTAGAAACTCTTGCTATGATAGTCAAGAAGAGAAATACTTAAATCTATTATCACACTAATAGTATGATAATAGTATTGCATTCATGTAAAAAAGGTCTTGAAATAGGACTTAGTTTACCAATGTTATAAGTGAGGACATAGGCTAAAGGTCGAAGTGCCAGAGCTAAAATTGAATCTCTGGTTTCTCTCATCTGAGTTTTATATTTTACTATTTTCCTCACTGAACGCAAGGACTGTTTTACAATTTTCCTCATTCAATTCTGGATTGATTTATTTATTGGTTTGGTTTTCTTTTACTTGTTTTTATGACCAAGCTGCACAGAGCATTGACTACTATTAGTAAAAGATATATAGTATATATTTAAATAGAATTCCCAAATAATGAACAATCTAAATCTGAATGTATCCTGATGGCTTATTGTAGGATATTTAGTATTACTCCAAGTAAAATTATTTTGAATATAATATACATATAGGCATATACATATATACTATTTTAAATAAAGTTCTAAGAATTATGTAATAACTTGATTAACTTTTTTCAGGACAAGTTTGGAAAGAGATTGATTTAATTATGGGCCCAAATAGGAAGCCTTCTTGGGATGACAAACGCAAAATGCCTTATACTGAAGCAGTTTTACATGAAGTTTTAAGATTCTGTAACATAGTTCCATTAGGGATTTTCCATGCAACCTCTGAAGATGCAGTTGTACGTGGTTATTCCATTCCAAAAGGCACAACCATAATTACAAATCTTTATTCTGTACACTTCGATGAAAAGTACTGGAGAAACCCAGAAATGTTCTATCCTGAGCGATTTTTGGACAGCAATGGATATTTTTCCAAGAAGGATGCTTTGGTACCTTTTTCCCTGGGTAAGACAATTTTCATGAGTATAAATTCAGAATATATAACATTTGAATATTAAACATCCCTCTCTGGAATTAAATATCCTGACTCAAATAATATTGATTCTTCTAGGAGAGAAAGGTTTGATTAAAAGTAATTAACTGGGGACTGGTGGCTCAAGCCTGTAAAACTAGTTGTTTATGAGTCTATGATCTAAGGATCATGATTCAAAGCCAGCCTAGGCAAAAAAGTACCTGACACTCTTATCTCCAGGTAACCAGCAAAAACCTAGAAGTGGAGCTGTAGCTCAAGTGGTAGAGTGCTATTCTTGAGCAAAACTGCTAAGGGACTGTGCCCAGGACCTAGTTCAAGCCCTGGTCTCAGCATGTACACTGTATCAGCTGCTCTTACTCAAAGTAAGTCTTAATTAACTAGAATTAAACTGCTGAAAAACAAAGCTTCTTTAGAAACTTTTGACTCTAATCAAACTTGTAGAGCTTGAATGTAGTAACACATGTCTTGAGAAACAGACTTTGAGAAAGGAACAAGATGACAACTTAAAGTAAAACTAGAATCTAGCCTCCCAGCTTATATTACCTCGTTTCTTACTAGGAAATATTGCGGTGAAATACGACACATTTAAGAGACCCATGGACTAGATATGCATCCTCAAGAAGAATACACATTTCGTCAGTTGAAATGAGCTTCTCTTGTCTATTGAACAAAATGCCAAACCTCAAATTAGATCTCTTACAACATATCTGAAGACGCGGTAATTTTGAAATTAAGAGAAGTAATAGAACAGATGGAACTAAAACCTTAAAAGAAACCTATGACCTAACAAAAGAACATAAAGGAATAGTTTCTGAAAGCTGAAAACGCTAGTTTGAATTTGGAAGATTTAAGAGAATCCTTTACTAAACATAACTTTGTAACATTTAAAATTCCAGATTTCATTAATTGCAACCAAACATCAGACATCAATTTTAGGAAATACAGGCCTTAAAAACTTATTGTATCTCTCTTTTTCTTTAGGGAGAAGACATTGTCTTGGAGAACAGCTTGCTTGGATGGAAATGTTCTTGTTTTTTACAACATTGCTTCAGAGGTTTCATTTGCATTTTTCACATGACCTAGTTCCAAATCTGAAGCCCAGATTAGGTATGACATTACAGCCCCAGCCCTACCTTATCTGTGCCAAAAGACGTTGAAAGTACATAGAAGATAAAGTTGTGTATTTAACTTACCTCCAGACCTTTTTAACCTAATCAGTGTAGTATCTAGAAGAAAGCCACAGTATCATAAAGTAAACACAGATGTGTTATTAAAAACAGTACTAGACTAATAATAGGCATTAGTTATTTTACTTCTAAGGTAGAATTCTTTGTTGAGAAACAGATACAAATTGCAGGTGTTTCATAAGATGCTAAAAACCAAAAAAAATGGATGCCCTACTGCTTGTTCAGTACAAAGTTTCTGTCATCCCTTCCTTACTCTGTTTGTCTTATCCTTACTTAGGAAGCTTTGCTTCCAAGTGCTAACTCCTCTCTGATCATCTACTGTCATTAATAGACTGTAGTACTTGTCCAGCTTAGAAGTTTAATGGAGGAATTAAATTCCAAATAAATGAGGAGTTTGTACTACAGAGGCATTTTAGATACAATAGTAGATAATAGTAGAAATACTTACCTAATGTAGAGCCTGCCAGTCTTCTTCCCTATATCTTCATAAGATCTGTGTCGTTCTTCCTAAAAATTGAAGGTTGCTAGGGTCCCTAAGCATCCATCCTATAGCCATTGTCTATTGAAAGTTGCAGTAAACTGTCATGGGATTATTGATTCTTCGTAGGAACAGCCATTTATCCTGCTTCACTTCTTTATAAAAGCAGTTGTATGACTTAAAAATAGAAACATTTAATCTTTTAGAGATTTCTACACATTTCAATGGATTGTTGCATTTTGAAAGATAAAATATTCCTATCCAAAAACATGATTTAGAGACAAATTAACTGTAAATTAGGGTACTTGAGAATGATGTAACATTGTTATTAATAATTATGAAAAGACAAAAATGGTAAATTGTGATTTCCCTGAATAAACTGGAATGCATATTCACTGTTTATAACTATCTTCACATGTCATTTTATACATTAAGTGTTACTATTCTTGTAACTTAGTTTATGAGCATTTATTAAGAATATGGATTTAACAATGACATTTATTAAAAATAAGGATTTAATCTTAGTTTAGACTTGTACACTGAATATTTGCAAGTTTTTATGTTATGAATCAAGGGTGTTTGCATATTTAAAATATTAAGATTTTTCACATGCAGGGAAAATATTTTATTATTTACTTAAATAATAAAATGAAACTTGAAGTTTTAGAGTTAGTATTGCCTTAACTATGTGGTAAGATCCTGTTTTTCCCATCTTTCTGATTTATCTACCAAATAATAAATATCTTTGTCTTAAGGCTGGCTTGTATACTATACTCAGCTTCGTGTAAAGAGGAAAAACTTGAATGGTTTCTTGGAAAGGAAGTTTTTTTAGATACACCCAGAAAACTATTCTTTGTATCTCAGCACTCTTAAATGAATTAACTTAAAATTATGTGTTACATATGAGATTGTGGTTCACTTAGACCTGAATGTATACCTGACTACAAATAACTAGTGATGGTGTTGGCATCCCTTAAAGTACAATTGCTAATACCTATGTGCCAAATATTGGTGCACCATGCTTCATTAAACACTACTAGACGTTAAAGCACAGATATACTTCAACATGATAATAGTGGAAGACTTCAGAACTCCACTCTTTCCAATAGTTACGTTATGCAGACATTTACAAGTTATTTCTCCAAACAACTCACAGGACACATTCTTAGCAACTCTAGAACATTCTCTTGAGATAGATACTATTTTAAAACATAAAATTAGTCTTAACCAATACAAGAAAACAAATACCCTAGCATTTTGTCAGATCCTAGAGATGTCATATAAATAGCCTAATGAAGCACCTCAAACTTCTAGAAAAAAAAGAACTTGCCAAACCCAAAATTAGCAGGCAGAAATAATAATGATTATGGAATGAGTCAATGAAATAGATATAGAGACTTAAAAAAATTGTACAGTGAAACAAAAAGTTGGTTCTTCTAAAATATAAGATTGATAAACCCATAGCCAATCAGACTAAAAGAAAGAGGGTAAAGACCAAAATAAAATGCAGGTGAAATTAAGGTTATCACAACAAATACCAATGAAATTCAGAAAATCATGAAGTAATACTTTGAAAACATGCATTCAAGGTAACTGAAAAATCAAGGGATGGATGCAGTTCTAGATGCACTTGACCTAGCAAAATTGAAGCAAAAGAATATGAAGTTTTTAAATACCTTTATAACAAATAATAAGATTAAAACAGTAATAAAGAGTCTCCCATAAAAGTCCAAGACATAATTCACTGATGAACTATACAAAATCTTCAGAGAACTAATACTAGTACTCTTCAGAATATTTCATGCAGTACAAAGGAAAAGAACACTACCAAACACATCTTATGAAGCTAGTATTACAGTCATTCTAAAACTTGTCAGGGACAAAACAATTACGGAACAATCTCTTCAGTGGATATAGATCCAAAAGTTCTCAACAAAATACCTGCAAACTGCTAAAAGATTGAGCACCATGGTCACTAGTTTCATTCCAAGTATGCAAGGTTGGATCAAGATACGTAAATTAATAAACATAATACAGCACATAAATAGAACTAGAGACAATTATATGATCATCTCATTTGATATAGAAAGAATCTTTGACAGAATTAAATGTTTTTTGATAAAATCCCTAAAGAAACAAAGAATAGAAGCAATGTTCCTCAACATAATAAAGATGAAGTATGACAAGCCTATAGCCAATATTATAATAATTAAGGGAAAACAAATAATTTTCTCTAGTCAGGAATGAGACCAGGGTATCCATTTTCCCCATGCCTATTCAAAATAGTACTGGAATTCCTAGCCAGAGTGAGAAGACAGCAGAAATTTCAGTGACAAAAAATTTCAGTGTGTAGAGATTTATGAGCATAAAGATTCCGATCCAAAACTCCTAAATCTTATATATGTATATATATATATATATTAAAAAGCTTAGCAATGTAGCAGAATACAAAACCAACACAAAAATCAGCACCTTTTATGTGCACCACCAATAAACAGACTTCGAAAGATCAGGATAACAATTCCATTCTAATAGCCTTTACAGAGGAGTAAATAGCCAAGAAGGTGAAAATGAGAAATATAAAACCTTGAAAAAGGAAATTGAAGAATATATCAAAAGTTAAAAAGACCTCTCATGCTCATGGATTGGCAGAATCAATTTTGTGAAAAAGATTATGCAACTGAAAGGAATCCACTGATTCAGCACAACCCCATGAAAATACCAGTGTCAATTTTAGCAGAATAGAAAATCATTTCTAAACCTCACATGGAAGCACAATAGAGCCTGAATAGCTAAAGCATACTGAATGCATTATAATACCAAATTTCATATTATACTCAAGAACCATAATAACATAACCTGGTACTGGCACCAAAAACAGACATCAAAACCACTGGAACAAGGGCCGTGAAGCAAATCCATTCAGCTACAACCATTGGATTTTTGACCTAGGAACCCAAAACATAAGTTGGAGAAAAGATAGACTTTCAACATGGTGGCAAGAAAAATGAATATCGACATACTGAAGCTTGATACCCATCTTTTTTCCCTGTATTAATATCAATTCAAAGTGGATGAAAGATCTTAGTGTAAGACCTGAAACCTAGAACATATTGGCAGAGGCAGAAACTTCAATATTGAATAGGAAGAACTCCAATAGCTCAGCAAGTCAGTTCAAGAATTGATTGGCAGATGAGAAGATATCAAACTAAAAGGCTTCTGCATAACAAAGGAAATAGTCAATAAAAATATAACCTATCAAACAGAAGAAAATCTTTGTCACCTATACATCTAACAAGGGATTAATAACCAGAATACACACACATGTAGATCAAACCTCTAAAAGGATTGACCACACAATAAATCAGCAAATGATATGAACACAGTTCTTGAAAAAAGTACTATTGGTCAATAAGTGTATGAAGAAATATTCAACATCCTTGGCCATAAATGGAATACAAAATAACATTGAGATTTTACCTTCCTTGAGTGAGATACATTAAGAACACATACAAGAAATGCTGATCAAGATTCAGGGAAAAAGGAACTCTACTACACTATTGGTAGGAATATAACCACTATATGTAACCACTATAGAAATAAAACTGCTGTACAACCAGGTGATATCACTCTGGGCATCTATCTAGAGGAATGTAAGAATACAATAGAGGGACCTGCATCACTATTGACAATAGTCAAGCTCTGGAAACAGCCCACATGCACTACAACTGGTAAATGGATCATGAAAATATATACACACATATACAAAATAGAATGTTACCCAGCTGTAAAGGATGAAAGTATATTGTTTGCAGGGAAATGGATGAAAGTAATCATTATGAGAAGTAAGCCAGGTTCAGAAGGACAAAAGCTGCATGTTTTCTCATGTGGATGCTAAACCTAAAAGATAAACATATTCTTATCAGCACTCATAGGGTCTCTTATTTATGTCTGTATTTACAGACATTAATGTTTGTAATTGTGGGACTATTTGAGGGGATAAAAGGAAAGAGGAAAAGGGAAATATTAGAGATAAACAACACTGGGATACCATTGAACCTTGAATGAAGATAGCAAAATCGAAATCACGGAAAGCTGTATCGTATAATAGGAGTGGTGGGGATAAAGAAAGCAAGCATAAGAGGTCAATCTGATTAAAGTCCTGAACATGCAAATGTGCAATAATATATTCAAAAGATAGCAATGTAACACAGGTCCTATCTCTGGTGTGTGCATTAGTGGGAAGAGTGAGCAGAGAGGTTGAAAGAGTATTGTGTATAAGAAATTATGATCACAACTTCCAAGATCTCCTGTACATTATTAAGAGGACATACTTGCAAATTTGGTATAGGAGAGGGCAACAAACTTCAGACTAAAAGCATAGAACATCTATTTAGTGAAATAGTAGC